AGTGAATAGCGCATAATCTCAAAATAAATGGAAAAAAGAATAACATTTTCAATACAGAAAATTATTTAATGGCCCAAAAAGAAGCCAGAATCATTATTATTGTAAATATGTTTAGCTTTTTTCTTTGCCAGTGCAAAACTTAAAATGAGTCGATTTTCAATGGTAGATGAAATTATCCTTAATTTAAAGCTTTTAAAAGATATGCAAAACAATATCAATTTTTTTTAGATATTGTGACTTCAGCTTTATTGGATAATGCCTGTCAAGCATTTGCTGTATTTATACTTTACATCCTCACCTTAATAGCAGTTTGGATAAATCTGTGGAGCTTGTACATTAGTTACTCCAAATAATTGGAGCGTGGAATACGGATAAGTTTGAGTCAGAAAACTCTTTGTACCTCCTCCGCTTTGTGTATCCCAGAGCGTGCAAGCGTGTAGGCTGATGTCATTCTCTAAGCAACAGTCCCAGAGTAAGGAGCTCTTTCGAGAAATTCAGCACTAGAGAACTAGAAGCTGTAAGACTTAGGTTCATTAAGTGAGCCAAGGTCTTGCTGTAACGTTGTCAGAATGCGATGTTTATGTGCTGTCCTCAGACCCCTCAGCAGTGAGAGTTCATGTTCTATCTACTATAAACAAAGATCTGCTTCAGAAGTGTAAGTTTAAAAAAAAAAGTCTTAAAGTGCATGTTTAGCTCTTGGTTTTTGTGTCTGATATATTATGTAGCTTTTTCTGCCCTCCAAATTAGTATTGGCAGTCTGAACTTTGAGTGATTCTTTCTTGTTTTAGCTTTTTTCTCATCTGTTTTGTAAAACTGCCTGTTTTGTAACCTTTGAGTCTATTATGGAGCTATACGTACTAAGGTGTGAATATTGATACATTTTAAAGACAGAAGTTGTAGTGCTGATTTCTAAAAGCATTGCTAAGATAGCCTTAGTTTGAACCGCAGACCTTAGGCTAGAAGTTGTAATGATCACTTTATAGAACAAAGGCCTTCAGTATGCTTTTATTCATATACTAATTCTGTAAGATGACACAAGTAGCATATTGAAATAACCCTATTTGTTGTTCTTCAAAAAGCAGGTATTCATGATCAGTTATTCTGAATAAATCATAGGTTTGATCATTTAGCCTTTTTAAAAATATACATTATTCCAAAAGCATAATTGTTACTTTGTGCTCAGTTAAATGATGCTTCTTTTTGTGTGTGCTCTGCTTCTTAACTGTGTCATTTCAGTAACTATAGAGGCGATACACTGTGCTAAACTTGTACGTGCCAGTCAAAATTGCATGATATGAAAGAGCCTTTGTCTTTGTCAAAACAGCTGTGATCTTGAGCTAACGGCATTGATTTTAGTTCTCATGATCCGGTGAAAAAGTAAATAAAACTGATGTATGACCTGCAGTTTGTTCCCCAGCTCCAGTAGTGTTGTGTTCCAGCATTGAAAAATATGTTGGATAAACAAGTCATATTTCACTGAGAGTACATTGTTCTATTATCCGAATGAAGTTCCATTTTGTTTGCATGGTCTTTATCAGACATGAAGAATCCAAGGATATTCATGAAACTGCACATCTAGGAGACTCTTTGATGGGCTTGAACAGACTCCTAATAGGGTCTGCATGCTAGAATGTTTTTGTCTGAATAATTCAATGTCAGTTACATTAAAAGAATAATGATGTACTCGTTTTTTAAAATCCTGCTGTTTGTACAAGTTAGCATGACAAATCTTACAAGACTAAAGTTTAGAGAAGTACCGTGTGAAAGAAAACGTCATTTTAGGAATGTTAGGAGCAAAACTGTGTAATTCAATTATAATTACATCTATTAACACCACTCTATTAAATGGTCTTTTGATGCTTCCGTTAATACACGTATTTTTCCAGGTTTTGAATCTGTTTAAAATTGGTTTAGGTTTAAAACTTGTGTTTTCATGCTTTGAGCAAATAAACTGATGCAACACTCTGCAAGGTATCTTTTGTTTTGAAGAACAGAGACTAACTCAGAAAATACTGTTGAAGTCAACAAATACAGGAAGGAATCACAAAGCATACAATGGAAAAAGTTAAGGATAATATTTGTCTTTATTTCAGAGGTCATGGGTTTGTATGGGGCAGTATTTCATACTGGCTCTTCCCCAATACCCTGCCAAATCTGTGGCCCATTGAAACCTCCATGGTGCCAAAGTCAGAAACAATTGGAACAATAGTATTTTCTCCCAAAATATTTGGCCAGCACAAGGAGCAGAAGTTTGTGTTTTGGTGGTGGGAAAGGGATTCAGTGATCATAATTGCTCTATAGTAAGAGGACCTGGTAAGTAAGGGACATTGTACTTGAAGATAGATCAGCAAATATTATTTATATTATGCCATCAAATGTAAACAACCGTGTGCAGTGCCTATAATGTGCTGAATGATGAGGGGCAAGGATTCATGTATAGTATAGTCTAAAGGTACATGTTGGTGCTGTACAGACCAGTACAAAACAGCTACCGTAAAAGAGTGGGCTGTGATCTTTGTGGTTGGAATGCATCATGGAACAGGTGAGTGTTTTTTTTGAGGGGCAAAGGGAGGCTACCCAAACATTGAATTGGATAGTGTTACATGAAGGGAGGTGGAGGAGCAGACAATGTGAAGGAAGTAATTTATAAGGGAGGAGCAGGACAAAGAAGGCAAATAGCGTTCATAAGTGGGGAGAACAAGATCTGGGTAAAGAGGTAAATAATAGGTTTAAACATTTGCCTGATATTCAATAAAGGAAATAGCTATCACTTTGTTCATATTTAGATAAAGGTCACTTATGTATAGTGCCATCCATGGGTATGCCTGGCATTGTCCAGGCAAGTATGAAGACATAGTTTCCCTTCCAAATGGAGTTTATACTGAGTCTAGAACTAGTAAGTAAAAAAACTGCTGGTATGGAGAGGCTATAGACTTTCCATAGCTGCTAATGTAAATTTTACATAAGATCAATTTTTGACAATCTCACCCTTGCTAACTTGTTTGACTTTAAATTGTGTTGTATTTGGAATAGGGATTGAGCCTTATTTTTGTTTGGAAAACATAATAGCACATCTTGAGTACTATCAGACACAAATAATAATCAGTTACTAAAATCAATGTGATTTTATGCCAGGTTAGACAGAATTGTTCTGGGAAGTTTAAGGCAGGTCTGATGAGGCATTCTGGAGATTCACATATTAAAATCAGGTAGCTCTACTTCTTGAAAATGTTCAGAAAGTAGTTTTATTTAAATTATTTATCTATTTTGCCTTGTTATAACTCCAACACAGTTTGGCCTTGAAATCCCTCATTAGTCTGAATCTGTTGGGATTTTTTTAGCAAGGACTTGTTTGTGCCCTTAACTGATTTTGGGAGACATGGAGAGTTGATGATGCTGCAGGTCTTGAACCCGAACCCATGGGTTGTCAAGCGAGAACATTACCCCCTGCCAAGGGTTCCGGAACTGGGGGAGGGGGCCATGGCCCATCCACTTTTCTCTACAGGCCTCCCTGCGCTAGTCCCCCCTGGCCAAGCCGGCAGCTGGAGCCTGGCTGGGGAGCCCGGGCAGCATGGGGCACTGCACCGTGGACCCTCCACCTGCCCAGGGTGAGGTGGAGGGGCGAGAGCAGCCTCCAGCCCATGTTCCTGCCCCGGGCCCCCCACCCAGGGCAGGTGGAGGGTCTGTATCACAGCTCCCCACAGCTGGCTGGCCACGTGGCTCTTACCATGGCTGGGCGGCAGCTCCAAGGCCCCGTCCCCCAGTCAGAGATGGGTCAGGGAGAGCCGCATGGGCAGCTATAGGGAGCTACAAACCCTCCACCTGCCCTGGGCGGGGGACCCCCGGGCTGGGACATGAGCTGGGGGTTGCTTTCAGTCCCCACCCTATCCCAGGCAGGTGGAGGGTCCACGGCTCCCGGTCAGCTCCGGCTTGTGGCTTGGCCGGGGGCGGGGCCGGGGGCGGAAGGGGCCACAGGGGGAGGGGACCCTTAACCCCCCACACTTTTTGGAAGGCTCCACCACAGCTGCCCCCTGCTGCAAGATCACATGAGGGAACTGATCTAACACCCCAAAGGCAGAGGCTACACCTACTGATTCAGCTGGATCAGGTGACTAGCAACAGACTGCTGATTGGACCAGGCATAAAGCTTCCTGTCTCACCTCTAGTCTGACCCGCTAGTCACTAGGCCAGGTGCTGACTAGATTATTGAGACCAACTTTCTCCTTTCTTGCCTGCTTTCCTCTCCTTGCTCCTGTTATCACACCTTGATTCTAGTTCCTGTCTCCTCACCTGGTTTCCACTTCTTGCTCCTGGTTCCTGTGTCCCTTCCCTAATTCCAGTGACTTACTCTGGCCTGACCCTTAGCGTGACTTCTGACCCCAATTCCAACCTACCCCTTGGTGTGACTCTGGCACTGACACTTCATGTGGCTCCTGACTCTGACTCTGGATTCACCCTTGATATGGCTTCAGACTCTGGCTTTGACCTTTGGCGTGACTTCTGTGACCCTGACTCCGCCCCGGCTCTGATCACTAGTTCAGACTGCCCAGTTACAGGACCTGACAGGGACTAATTAGTTATTTAAAAGAAATTCATTTGGGAACCCCAGTAATTCCCAAATCCACATGTCAACTTTCAGGGAATTTAGGTATAAAACATTACAGAGAAAACATAAAAATAATAAAAGAATCTGCACGCATGCTAATAAGCTTATCAGAATTCATCCGAGCTCTCTCAAGCGCTCTGGTAAGTGTAGTCTTTTAATACCCCACCCTAGGGGTATCCTTGTATTACAAGTTCATCAGAGTTTCATCTCGGAACGATAAACAATCAATAAAAATACATATTTTGTATTTGAATTACTTCTTGTTTATTTTCATCTCTTGCTGGCTCAGGCAAAATTCCCCTTGAGCAGAAGGATCAGAATAATCAAGAGTCTAATTTATTTTTCATCTGTTGATAATTAATTCTTCATTTGTTTAAATATTTTGCATGTGCAGTGAGGAACTAGGAGAATTTATGGAAATGAAAGGTGCCAACAGCCCTGGGATCCTTGTATTGACCACTGGCCTCAGCAAACCTTTCATGCGCCTGGATAAATACCCCACGTTACTCAAAGAGCTTGAAAGGCACATGGAGGTATATCTTATCAGCATTTATGTTCCATCTTAATGATGATTTGACAACAGTTGTTTTAAAGGTACATGTCAAGCATGTTGGTCCCCAGATTGTGTTCCTTGTCTCTCCTTCTCTCCTTTCTGCCTTCTGAACAGTGCTCCAGTCATTTAAAAAAAAAAGCGGGGGGTGGAGGGGGCAGAAAGCACTATCACTCATGAAGTGATAGTATTGGAGGTACCGGAACACCGTGAAAAGTGCCCAAATGGCGTTCCGGCACGACTTGAGCCCTGCTTCTAAAATAAGAGAGGCAGTAGGCTTAAAACTCATTGTAATCAGATTAACTGAAAAACTCAGTAAGCGTAAAGCAAAACCCACCTAGGAATCTGAATTTCTCACTGATGGAGCTGATCCTCAAGATTTCCAGGTGGATTGTGTTTTGAACCGGTCTCCTAAAAACTGTAATTAAGACTATTCTAGGTTTTATCTTACAAAAAAGGATTTTTTTTCATAGTAGTGGTCTAGTCGTTCAAACACTCCCTACTTGATCTTGTCTCACTTACTTCTGTTGGACTATGCCTGACAATGAGACCTGGAAGTGTTCTAATGTGGTGGTGTTTGAAGGGCCTAAATTTGCATTTAAATGTTTTATTTAAAAAAAAAATTGAGGGGGTGTAGTTGGTGTGTCATGTATATGATTTGCCAGCTCTGATAGTGTTCCATGTTAGCATAACCTGAAAAGAAGAGCGTGGTTTAACTGTGACAATAGGAAAGGGCAGAAACATGGGCTGGAGGCTGCTCTGGGAGTACTAATGGCAGAAACTTAAGTTTGCAAGTAATCTGTTGAAATCTAAGTCAGGTATATTTTTCCAGACACTGTCTCTTGGGTTCATGAAAGAATAGCGTTAGTAGTAACATCATGAGAGTTTCTGCATTCTTGCTACAAGTGTTATATCAATGGAAGGAGGCAATGAAGAGGGCATAAAGAGGAGAACAAAAAGGGTTGTTACAAAGTTGTCTATACTGTAGTTACTATGCCTCCTAGGAAACATTTCATTACCATCACCGGGAATTACAGTACTATTGTTTTTGTCTTTAGGATTATCATCCCGATCGACCAGACATTCAGAAATCCATGACAGCCTTCAAAAACCTTTCTGTAAGAATTCTGAAGAGTAGATATGTATTTATTTGGGAGAATGCTTCCTAATTTCATGCCCTGTAAAAGTTAATATTTTGACATGTGAAATCTTTAGAAATGTAGGGCTTGATGCTATGCTCAGGCATAGTGAAGTGTGTGGGAGGTGTCTGCTGGCAGCCTGTTCCAGCTCCTTCATTCTTGTTTGCCCAGTCCCACTGGAAATTAAGGCAGTACATTAGCAGCCCTAACTTAATATCAGTTGAAAATTAGGTGTAGCAGAGCCCTCCCTTTCCAGTCCACTCCTTGCTCCCAGATCATCCCTGTTTTAGCTTTACACCAGAAGAGGCCTCACCTGCACCAAGAACTTGTCTCTGGCCTCCTCCAGCCACTATATGGCCTTTTTGTGCCACTTAGGGAATGTGGCGATAGTGGGCTAAGAAGTCCAGCCTATAGTGTACGTCCCTAGTGCAAAGGCACTAGAGTAAAAATGAGCATTACATCACTGAAGCCCAGAATGGACGAGCTGAGAGGTTGGGGGATTAAGACCTGTCAGTTCTAACATGGGTATCCAAGCAAAGAAATAAGAGGTGTGGTTGTTAGTGACATATGTGTGCAACCCACTAACACTTTTTGTCAACATTGTGTGTTTCCTTTTGGATGGGGCTGCGCCACTAGTGTGACTTTGTTATATATATTTTGTGGCCACTGTGAGACCTGGGGTCCCTTTTTGTTGGGTGCTGTAAAAACAAGTAGGAGGAAACAGTCCCTGCCCCCAAGAGTTTCAGACCAGATGAGACAAGTGGGAGAACAAACAGCAGAAAGGATAAGGGAGGGAGTATGAATTAGATCTGTATTCCTGCTTTCTGCTGGGCTAGTCGGTTATTGTTTGGGAGTGAATAATAGGCATAACATTAGAAGTGGCTCTCTAGGAGAGCCCTGAAGAAGAACAAGGTGGTGACTTTTTAAAGGGATGTTGAGATCATTAAATTAAAAGAAAAGTACACCTTGACCCCACTATAACGTGACCCGATATAACACAGGTTCGCATATAGCGCGGTAGCAGCGGGGCTCCAGCTGCTGCGGGGAGCCCCAGGCCCTTTAAATCACCGCTGGAGCCCTGCCGCCGCTACCCCTGGGCTGCGGCAGTGGGGCTCACCGGCGCTTTAAAGGGCCCGGGGCTCCGGTTGCTGCGGGGCGCCCAGGGCCCTTTAAAACATCGCTGGAGCCCTGCTGCCACTACCCCGGGGCTGCGGCAGTGGGGCTCGGCTGGTGATTTAAAGGGCCTGGGGCTCCCTGCGGCCGGAGCCCCGGGCTCTTTAAATCACCGCTGGAGCCCTGCCACCGCTACCCTGATATAACGGCGTTTCACCTATAACGCGGTAGGGATTTTTGGCTCCCCGCGACCGCGTTATATCGGGGTAGAGGTGTAGTAGTTTTGTAATTAACAATGTAAATTTTCAAAAGGTACTTTAATGTAGTCCACTGAAAGAAATATTTCACACTTGAAAGCTTTATTTTATACTCCAAGCCGAGCACTGAGGACAAGTAATTACTTCTGCTGATACTGACTCCTAATACAGTTCACACAGACACCACCTTATTAGCACCTTCCCTATCTTTAACAGGCACAATGTCAAGAAGTACGGAAAAGAAAAGAACTTGAACTCCAAATACTGACAGAAGCCATCCGCTGCTGGGAGGGAGAGGACATTAAAACACTGGGCAATGTAATTTACATGTCCCAGGTCATGATTCAGTGTGCTGGAAGTGAGGTAACGCAGTTCAAGTTTTCATTAAATATTTTTCTGTTCCTCTCTTGCAACTACAATTAACAATGAATAATAGATTGTGCGCGGTAGAAACAAGAAGACCACTCCAAGAAAAAAAATATAGACTGAACAAATTTTATGTAGTATTTTGTTTAACCTAAGTGTCCTTATAAATGGAGGAAACTACTTTAAGATGTGCAAGCTCCGCTAAAAGCTGACTAAATCGTATAGCCAGATAGAGTTGTTGGAAACATTATAAAGTCTTAAGGGGTTGTAAGAGAGTCCAAAGTGCAAATTAAAGAGAATTTTCTCTGTGTATTGGTTACATTACAAAATAATTTGCCCCGGTAGCTATTACTACATGTAAAAACAATTTGGAAATACTTATTTTATGTTGCTGTTGTCCCAGACATACTCCTCCTTGGTTGATGGGGTTTTTGGACACCTTCCTCAAATATTAATTATTAAAAAGACAAAAATCAGGGGACTGAGTGACTCTGGGGAATCGTAATGCCTTTCACCTTGAGGTCATTGCTTTAATACCAGCTCTGCTTTGTAGTGATCGGAAATCTTTACTTTCTGACCCATGTGCAGTGTCTTATATAAAATAATTGAAGATCTCTGTCTCAATTTCCTAATACACAAGCAACCACGTCACAAAAACCATCACCACAGTTGACACTAATTGACAACCTTGTTGGCAGAGAGGCCAAAGAACTGACTGGACCTGAATTATGAGTTACTCTCTAGGGGTGGTCTCTGTGTCACAATCGAGGCCGGACCTATAGCCAGCTAAATTGAAGTGGGAAGGCAGGGAAAAACTCAAGGAGTGGGGTTGCAAAGTTTTCGCATAGAAAAATTTAAAATATCAGATGCACTATCCTGAATTTTAGAAGATTTTAAAACCATTTAAAATCAAAGCTTGCACCAAAAAAAGTAATGGTACAAATCTAGATTTCTGCCATAGGGCAACTTTGCACTGTAACAAGTTAGGTTCTTTTATAACACTCATAAACATATGTCTTACCCAAAAAAAACCCAGACTCCCTCAAATACTCTGTTTTATCTCTTATCAAATGCATATGAAAACATTGGGCTGGATCCTCAGCTCAGGTCACTTAGCTTATTGGCCATGAATTTATAAGTAGCTGTGCATTTTATCCCAACTGAGGAACTGGCCCATAGTATACACAAATATTGAAAAACTCCTTTAGAATGCTTTGGATTAAGAGAACTTTTAGGAGGGGCAGAGAGGGAAAATGGTAAATATTTTGCTTAAAAAGAAAAATAACTCCTAAATAGAGATAGCTAGCATGAATGGAATGTCTCATATGCAACAGGAATCCCTTGAGTGGCAGTGTAGTCAGTTGCTACTGTTGAGGTTTATTTCTTCAAGTAACTTGCATTATAAAAACCTGAATACAAGAGCTTGTCACAAACCTTTTTGAACAGAAAATTGAGTGCAGTTTGACTCCACTTATTGCTAAGTACATATAGGTTTAATTTTGCTAAAAGTACAGTAGTATTGGTACTACACCAGTGAATGTTTTAAATAAAAAAAAGTTAGGGTCTACTGCCGTATATTTATTTTATTTTTAATTATTTTCTTTGTTTTTTCATAAGGAAAAGAATGAAAGATATCTTCTTCTGTTCCCTAATATTTTGCTTATGTTGTCTGCCAGCCCTAGGATGAGTGGGTTTATCTATCAGGTAAAACAGATGTTTTAACCATGGTTATTTACAGCAAACTTAAAAAAAGCTTTCTAAACTTCTTTTCACTTCTCTTTCTATATGTATTCAGTATGTATATGTACTCTGAGAGGCAGAATTGTCCAGCTATTGGGATCCTGGACTGAGAGTCAGGAGACCTAAGTTCTGTTTCTGCCACTGATCTGCTATATGAACGTAGGCGAGTAACTTCATCTCTGTCCTATTGTTTCCCTACTACTGATACTTTCTGTTAAGTGCTCTTAGATTTATAAAGGAAAACGCTATAGAAGAGCTTATTAATAATAATACATAAACTGTTAAGCATCCAGGTTGAGAAGTCAAGCACTCAGAAGTCAGGAAATGCCAAAATTAAGGTTGCCCATGCAACCTTCATTCAGTCTCCTTACGTGTATGCATTATGATGCAGTCTTTAATTCTATAATCACATACTATTTTTTTTCCAGAAGTCCCCTTTTTCATTTAGTGTTTTTTATAGTCCACATTCACAGTGTGGCCCCAGGCCTTATTTAACGTTCACTGTCCAAACTCTGCACTGCATTAAAAAATCACTAACTTCCTTATGGGTGTTTCTGAGATGCTGTCACCGTAATAACTGAGTGCTTAACAGTCATTAATGAATTTATCTTCACAATATCCCAGTGAAGTGAGGTAGACACCTAGGACTGAATTTACTTTGCATTATACAACACACATGTTCGAAGCTCAGCTTCCATTGACTTCAGTTGCAGCAGCAAGTGCTCAGCATTTCTGTAAATCTGGCCCCCGGTGTCTCATGTTAGGCACACTGAAAATAAGGAACATGCAGTTGGTGGCCACCTATGAAAAGTTTGGTTATTCTTTGAGTGGTGAGTCCAATGGCCATTCACTGTGGGCGTGCACACACTCCAGGCACACAAGACAGGAAGATTCTTTTCTAGCAGTGGGCGTTGGGCTGTACCTGCACACTGCACCTCCTTGTGCTTCGAACTAAGGGCATAAGGAGCAGCGCGGACTGACCGCCTCTCCAGTTCCTTTCTACTGCTCATGGTACAAGATGGAACTTCACCAGTGTCCTCAGCTTTGCTAGTGTTCCTGCCTTCAACTCAGGTTTCTTTGTAAACAGTTATTTTCTGTAGTTAATTAGTTAGTTAAATAATGTAGTTAGTTAGTTTGAGGTTAGTTTCTTGGCTTCAATTCCTGTTTGGGCTGCCCTCCGGTCTTCCTGGTTAGTGATTCCCAGGCCTCCTGCCTGTACTGTCTTGGGAGTCTCGTATGTGTGAGCTTTGTTGTTCTTTCCAACCTTGTCTGGAACAATCTCACAAATTCCAAGTTAGGAGGCATCTCATGGAGCTCTCCATGAAGCCACAGCCAGACCTTGGGACTTCTGACTTCCCTGTCCATTGGTGTGATCTCCCTGTTAGCGCCCCTCCAGACCCGGTGCTTCCCAGTCCTGGCTCATCTGAGTCCAGACTTAAGCTCTCTAGCAAGCAGAGACGGGAGAACAGAAAGGAAAAACAGCCTCATAAGAAGTGAGAGAAATCCCCTCCTAAATTCTCTAAGAGATCTGCCTTCCTTCTACCCCTTCTAAGTCAGGCACAGAAACTTTGTGCCCCAGTATGGGTGTGTCTGGAGCTCCCGGGGAGCATCGGCCAGTACCAGCAGTACTGAGAGCCAGGACACCCAAACACCGTCCCACCTATGTAAGGGAATGGTCTGGCCCAGCATCAGCAAAGGAGAGGAGAGAGTGGTCACCCTCTGCACAAGTGGTTCTGCACTGCAAGAAGAAGAGGGATTTGCCACTGCGAACACCTACTGCCATCCCAAATCTGTACCGTTGGACCTATCTGTGCATAGAAGCCCCTCCTGTTCTCCACTGGGAGTCAGAAGTCCCAGGGTCTGGCTGTGGCTTCATGGAGAACTCCATCAAATACGTCCTAATTTGGAATTTGAGAGATGGCTGCATACAAGGTTGGAAAGGACCTAATGGTTTATACTGACCTGGAGTCGATGCTTCTCTCAGATCTGGTAATCTCCAAACAGCTTCCTACACAGTTGGTATGCCACTCGCCAGTCCCTTCCACCAGCCATGGCATCAAGCTGCCAGCACCAGTAATGCAGCACTCACCAATTCCATCTGCCAGCCGTGGCATCTCAAGGGATGTGGTACAAATGGCTCCACCCGTGGACGCTGAGGACTCTTATTCCTCTAGTGAGTTTGCAACAGAGGATGATGCACTGGCCATTCCAGTGGTCTCAAGCCAGGACACTAGCCCGACAGGGGTTCCAGAGTCTCATGGGTGCCCTGTCGCCTCCCACAAGTCATACTGTTGGGCCCGGGACCAGAGGTTCTCTTCACCTCTGTGCCCATACAACCCTACATTCGGTCCTATTAAGGTGCTTTGGATCCTTACAGTAGGCCTTCTGGCTACATGGGATTGGAACAGGAATATGGTCAGAGATCACCTCAAGGGAAGAGCCCCAATTCCCTCATGAGCACTATGAGGAAGAACAGCCCAACCAGCGAGTACTGCCCAAACCAGCTATGGTTCTCTCCTATTCATCTCCTGATGAAACAATGACGCCGGCCCCCCCTTCGCCACCTAATGATTATACTTCCTGAAGAGGCTCAATGTATAGGTTCCTCTGGAGGAAGTTCAGGACCTTACTCGCAAGCTTCTAGACATTCTCCAGACTACAAGCCCTGTCGAGGTGGCGCTTCCCATCAACAAGGCCATACTGGAATTGTCTGAGGCTGTTTGGCACAGTCCAGCAGCCTACGCCCCAACTCCAAAAAGAACATTGAAAAGATACTCTGTTTCACCTAAACGGGGGACAGAATATCTGTTTTTTCCACCACATCCCAAATTCACTGGTGTACAGGCTGTTACAGAGCACAGTCATCTACACTAGCTTTGGTCTTCCCCTTCCAAGAAGAGTGCAAAAATAACTGGACTTTCTCAGGAGAAAGAATTTCTCTTCCACCAGCTTCCTATTTTTGATAGTATAATATAACTTTATTAATTATCATAACCTGAGTTCACTAGCATACTTTCTCATGAGCTCAGATCAAAGTTTCAGGCTATCCTGGATGGGAGGAAGCTCATAGCCTGGTTGTTCCTCTAGGCATCACTAAATGTAGTTGATAGCACTTCCCACTCCATGACAACTTCGGTAGTCATCAGGTGGGCTTCTGGGTTTAGTTCCTCGGGGTTCCCTAAGGATGTCCAAGCAACAGTGGAGGATCTCCTCTTCCATTCAGGGGGGCAAAAAGATGAATCATTTCACTTACTCAGAGATTCCTGGGCTACCCTCTGATCCCTAGGGATTTTACACTCCAATTCCTTGGAGGAAGTACTCTAAACCACCTCCTTACAGACAGCGTCCCACTCCCCAGTCCTTTTTCCATCAATGGGCTTATGAGCCACCCAGGACTGGCTGACATTGCTTATGAGCCACCCCTGTCATTAATTCCCCCTCATCAGCAACCCCTTGCCAAGAAGTCATTTTGATGGGATCATCGAGAGCCACTAGCCTGTCACCACACAGCTGGATACTCCCACCCACTTTGGTGGCCGCCTTCCGCTTCTTCCCAGTGAGCAACATAGCAGACAAGATGGTCCTGGAGATCATCTCCATGGGTACATGATAGAATTTACTTCTGTCCCTACACCAAAATCCCCTTCCCCATCCCTCTTCAGGGACCCATCTCATGAGAGTTTTCTCAGATAGGAGAGAGGCTCCCATCTTCAGCTAGGAGCCATAGACCCCATTCCTCTTCAAGGTTTCTATTTGAGATACTTCCTCATTCCCAAGAAAAAGGGCAGATAGACCCATCCTAGGATTTCAAACTACTGAACGTCTTCATAGCCGTTTGAGATTAAGGATGACCATCCTAGTCTCTACAATCCCCTCCCTCAACAAAGGCGACCCATTTGGAGTTCTCAATTTGAAAGAAGCCTATTTTCATATAGACATTCACCCTGTCCAGAAGAAGTTTCTCTGCTTTACGGTGGGCCTAGATCATTACCAGTACAGAGTCCTTCCCTTCAGTGTCTTGATGGCCCCAAGGACATTAATGAAGGTACTCTCTGTGGTAGCAGCATACTTGCATTGCCAGGGCAGCCTTGTGTTTCCTTATCTTGATGACTGACTTCTCGCAGAGTAATCATCTCAGGAAGTCCAGTGGACAGTACACTCCCTCCTCAGCCTCCTGCAATCCTTAGGGCTTCAAGTAAAGCTACAAAAAGTCCACTTCAATTAGAGTGCCTCTGGGCTTGACTTCAGTCAGAGCTTGCTTACCTCAGGACAGGTTCCTCATGATGACAGACCTCCTTGCCCAGCTCTGACTGAGTCCCCAGACGACAGCTTGTCCTGTCTGGTCCTTCTTGACCACATGGGCGGCTGCATGTGCATAACACCCTTCTCCAGGCTCCTTCTTCGTTGCTTTCAGGAATGGCTATGCACAGTATAAGTGAGTTGTGAACCCTCAGATCGTTCTGTCTTCTTTCACCTGGTGGGAAAACAAGAAAGTCCCCTCTATCCCTTAAAGAAACTAATCACATGCACCTAGATTGGGGAGCACATCTGGACAACCAAGTAGCACAAGGTTCTTGGACCCAACAGGAATCTGAGCTACACATCAGTCTACCTGAACTTTGAGTAGTGCAGGAGGCTTGCAGAAGGTTTCTGCGTTTCCCACATTTCCATTGTGTTCTGGTCATGTTGCACAACTTAACCACAGTTTTATACATAAACAAGCGCAGGGGGTAGCAAGGTCTGCCCATGTTTGCACAGAGGCCATCAGGCTCTGGAATCGGTGCCCCTGACACCAGGTTGCCCTCTCAGCAGTGCGCTTTCCCAGAATAATGAACACCTTAGCAGACAGTCTCAGCAGACATTTCCACAGGCAGCACTATTGGGAACTTCACAGCTCAGTGGTACTGAACATCTTCCAGCTTGGGAGGTGGGGGAGGAGTCACCGTCATGGGACTTCTTTGCACTCCGGGTAAACAAGAAGTATCCAGCCTATTGCTCCTGTGCTGTGCAAGGGCACATTTCCAGAGGGGATTCATTTCTGGTTCAGTGGTGAGAGTCACTAATGTATTCTTTCCCTCTCGCCTCCCTCTTACTTTGAGTCCTGAACAAGTTTAAACAGGACAAATTGACAGCGATTCTGGCAACACCTACATGGCTGAAACAGTTTTGGTTTACCAGCATCCTCCAGATGTCCATGTGTCCATGCATCCGCTTGCACAATTGCTGAACCTCCTGACTCAGGATGAAGGCAGAACCATCCATCCCAGCCTGATATCCATCTACCTAGCAGCTTAGTGTTTGGATCAGCATCAAGCAGGGAAATATTGTGCTCAGAGGCTGGTCAGTTCATTCTCAAAACAGCAGAAAGGCTTCCACAAGAAAATACTATCCTGCCAAGTGGAAGAGATTCTCCATCTGGTGCATCGCCAGGTAGCTCCACTAGACTCTGGAATCTGTGCCATCTTGAAATATCTTCTCTCCCTCAAGTCACTGGGACTATCCATTAGTTTGTTGCACATGCATCTGGCAGTGATCAATGCTTTCCGTCCTCTGACAGATAACTGCTTGATATTCACCCACCCTACAACTATGAGGTTTCTAAAAGGTCTAGTCCGAACCTTCCCTCCAGTATCAGCACTGAATCCTAACTGAGACCTCAGTCTACTCCTGTCAGCACTTACGAATCTGCCATTCAAGCCCTTGGCCCCTGCTCCTTTCCCCATCTTTCCATGGAAAGTAGCCTTCCTAATGGGAATTACTTCTGCTTGGAGAATAGGGGAGCTTATGATGCTTATGGCAGACACTCCCTATATGGTGTTTATAGGGATAAAGTGTCCCTAAGGTTACTTCTCAGGTTCATCACAAAGGTTCCTCTGAATTTCACCTGAATCAGACCATACATCTACTGGTGTTCTACACAAAATCTCACATCACTAGAGAAGACAGAACCCTTAATTCTTTGGTTGTTCATGGACCGTCTGTCTGCAGTGGACAAAGCTCCTTAAAAAATTCCCAAGATTGTTCATCTCCTTCACTGAACGGATGAAATTTTATCACAAAGGCTGTTGAAATGGATTTGGGGCTGTATTTGGCTGCATTTTGAACAAATGGAAACCCATCCTCCTCAGGGGCTGAGGGCTCATTTGAATACAGCGCATGCTACCTCTGTAGCTTTTCTCCAAGGTGCACCTCTCCAAAAATCTGTAGAGTGGCAACATGGTGCTTACTACGCACCTTTACCGGGCACTATGCAGTGGTCCAGGTTACCTCAGCAGGTATAACCTTTGATTCAACAGTCCTGTATTCCGTAATGCAGCACGGGTCCTCGCACCCTCCTCCTCAATGAGTACTCTTGTGAGTTGCCTACGGTGAATACCCATAGGGACCAGCATTTGAAAAAGCAAAAATAGGTGAATATTTGTGGAATTTCCATTTGTATGTATACCTATTTACACTGGAAACCTGATTCTAAGAGTTAGTCATCCAGTTAGCACACAGAACATACCATGTGGCCTATATATCCCATCAAAAGAGCTCAAATGTTGAATACTGAATACTTGAATGAGTTACAGGCCAAAAATTATGTGCAGAAATTATTGAATCATCTTAATTTAATAATAAATAAACATGAGAAAACTGCAGTCTGCTTGCAGACCATTTTAGGTCAGAAAAAGAAGTGTAATTTGTTGACTATGTTATTCACTGTGAATTACATGCCCAGTTCTGTTTAAAACCTTGGTACTCTTGCATAAAGTGATGTTATAGCCTTTGATGACAAGAAGGGACAGGTCCTCAGTTTTACATGCTATTAGAAAGACACCTCCACTGTATCATAGGGTCTGCTGGCATCATGCTGGTGTCTTGGTTCAGTACTGTCTCAGATAGAAGTTCCATCTATAGTACTGAATTATCAACTTCACTAAGTATGGAACTCGGGTGGAAATATGTGTTCCTAGTAGGTCTCAAATCCACAGATGGTCAAGGTCCTCTCTTGGTGAATTTGCATTGTAATGTATTTACATGCACTACCCATAGCTTGGGCAGATTTCAAATTGACTCATGATATTAAGCACAGTAGTTGTTCTTGGCACAAAAAGCTATGTAATTTGGTTATCCTTTTCCCATGGAATTTTAAATATTATTGCTGATCTAATGTGTACGTTTCAATTTACTGGTTTATCATCTGTTTGCCTGTTTGAATTATGCATATTTTAAATGTATATATGTTTAGCTATTAAACATCTTTGGGTTTTTAAAAAGAAAAAGAAAAAAACATGTTATGACTTTTCTAGGGAAAACTGCCAATGACAGGAATGACCATCACAAAGCTAGAAGACAGTGAAAATCACAAAAATGCATTTGAAATAGCAGGTAATGTTCATGAGCATTTCTATTGATTTGTTTTTGTTTATCATAGAAACATAGGGTTGGAAGGGACCTCAGGAGGTCATCTAGTCCATCCACAGCGCTGAGGCAGGATTAAATACAACTCGATCATCCCACTTCATCTTACCTGTTCTTTAAAACCTCCAATGACGGGGTTTCCACAGCCTTCCTAGGTTTAAAATTAAAAAAAGAAAAGACTGCCCATCCCGGCTGTGCGTGCCCTTGACACTCAGTTTATTTTGTATAATTTTAACTCCACAGTTCTCTCCCGTGTACCCCAAGCAGCACATTTTATATTAAGCATAAGCTCTTCCCTATGCCCCTGTCCCCATCAACACAATTGCCTAGACCCTCACAAATCTCTTCTCCCCCTCTTCCCTTTAAAAGCAAGGAAGAAAAGACAAGCCTTGCAGCCTGTCTCTAACAGTCAGCAAATTCAGGCTACTACTTTGGACCAAGAAAGGAAAAAAATTCTAGAAGGTCTCTAATAGAGAACTTTCTACCAGAAGCGAACTCCCATCACCAAGGGGCCTCAGCTCAGGTTTCTCCACTGGTGGTTTCTCATGGGGAGAGAGGCAGTTGCTTAGGTATATTCCTGGCCATTTATTGTTTTATAGGTCAACACCAACAGCTTACAATTGCCCCAGAAACCAAAAGGATCCAGTGCAGGTTACTGAAGACAAGTTTTACGTGCTCCCAGAAAAATATACTGCATAGCAAGTGGGCTGCTCTGCTGAATTCTGCACCTGCTTCAGTTTCTGGGTAAATGTAAGATGTAGCCCCAAGTAGATTCTGTTGAAATAGTTTAATCTCAGGGGGATGAAGGTGTCACGAGGGTCACAAGGTCTACAGCCAAAAGAACGGTTACAACCTCCTGGCTATATGACGAGGGAGAAAAAGCCAAAGCTAGTTATTGCTGCTACCAATTGCTGCTTTCAGAGGCAGCTGAAAATCTAACCTCACATACCTGGTAGCAAACCAGAACAACCAAGGACCGCCCACCCACCCTCTCGCTCACTCTCTTCTCAGCTAGCAGCACTGACGTTGTCCTCATAATGCCCTCCAGTTGCTTCCCCCCAGGTGATCAACTCTCACCCCAGTTTTATTATCTAGATTAAGTGTCAGGCAGCCAGACTGGATCAGTTCCCCCAGTCTCCCTTAAACATTGAGTAGTGCAATCCACTGTTCTGGCCAGGTCAAATGAAATGGAGACTTTAAACTGTGTCATCCGCATGCTGAAGATTCAGCAATCCATGTCTCCTCACTAACTGTGTGCCTTAATCTTGTGTATAGCTGTAATTGTATAGAGTCTAGGGAGAAACTATAAGGTTAGATGATATATGCAGAGTTGTTGTAGCCATGTCGGTCCCAGGATATTAGAGAGTCAAGGTAGGTGAAGTAATATTTTTTATTAGATGCTGTTTTTTGATTGCTTGATTGTTTGTTTTTGGTGGAGGGGCCTCATCTGTGTTTCTCAATAGAGACCAAGATGACTTTAATTGCTAGATCAATTTCTTTGCATAAACTTTCCTAAATAAAGATTGCAAAATGGCCTGTGTCTATAAAGACAGACATCTGAAGAAAAATCTATCACAGTGAGGAAAGGGGTTGAAATATCATTCCTTCGGACAGAAATTATACTTTTAAGTCTTTGTTCAGCCCTTAGGTATTACAAGGATTCAGTGCGTGACAAAAACTGATTACTATTTTTGTGTTTCTAAAGAATAAATAAAGTTGTTTTTTAGACTTTCTAAATCTTGTGTTTTCTTCTAGGAAATATGATTGAGCGGATATTAGTATCATGTAACAACCAACAAGATTTGCATGAATGGGTGGATCATTTGCAGAAGCAAACCAAAGTTACAACTGTTGGGAATCCCACTATTAAACCTCATTCTGTGCCATCTCACACCGTAAGAAATACTTTAGTCATAGGGGCTGAAACAAACAAGCATTTGCTTGAGTTGTTAGGAGAAAGATTATCTGGATTATAAATCTCATACTACTATGTAAATCATTCTAATTTTTTTTTTCACCAGTAACAGGAACCAGATGTTTTAATTGACCCAATTTGTTGTTTACCCAATTTGCTTTATATATTTTCAAAATTAGAAGAAAGGTTTGGTCACTCATGCACAGATACAAAATATATTAATGTAATTTAACAGTTTGGCTTCAAGAGATAAAAAGAAAACCCCCAGGAAATTCGTGGTTAAGGCTGAGACTCCATCTCTAGCTTTTTGTTGTTATGCCTGAATATTGCATTTGATATTTTCCTTTAATTGTCCTTAGAATAATGGGTTATATTGCATCTCCATGGCAAAGCAGGTTAAGACTGGTGTGGAAACTTTTTTCATCACAACATTTTTTTCTGATTAAAAATGCTTCTTTTTCAAAATGTTGTTTTTGATGAAAGTGTTGATTTTGGCTAATGTTCCTGCAGGGCAAAGAAACTTCTAAATGAAAAAAAATGTTAGGGTATGTCTACACTACGAAATTAGGTTGATTTTATAGCAGTCGATCTTTAGAAAGCGATTTTATACAGTTGATTGTGTATGTCCCCACTAAGCGCATTAAGTCGGCGGAGTGCGTCCTCAATACCATCGCTAGTATCGACTCACGGAGCGGTGCACTGTGGGTAGCTATCCAGAGCGGTCACATTGGAGCACTCTGGGATAGCTCCCGGAGGCCAATAATGTTGAATTGCGTTTGCACTACCCCAAATTCGACCAAGCAAGGTCAATTTTAGCGCTACTCCCCTCGCCGGGGAAGAGTACAGAAGTCGATTTTAAGATCCCTTTAGGTCGACGGAACGGGGTTGGTTGTGTAGATGCATTGCTTATAAAATTGACCTAATGTGGCTAAATTTGACCTAACTTCGTAGTGTAGACCAGGGCTTAGTTTTGAAAAACCTTACTTTTGGGAAATTCTGAAGTATCATTTTGAATTATAATTTATTTTATAGCTTTTTTTCATTTGTATATTATTTTTACATCATTTCATAATATGTCAGTAAGAGCCATGCACAATTTACATTGCTGTTTTTGACGTGTCATAATATGACATTCTATTCTTATTTTAAATTTTATGTTAACTATTATATTTCATGTATTTTATTTGTGTCAGATTGTTTCATTACAACACAGAGGAGACACTTGGACCTAGAAAAGAAGATAAAATGTTTCAGTCTGCACTAAGTAGCAGCTGTCTACAATGATTTTAAAAATAAAATATAAAATAAGATATTTCAACTATTATATTATGCCATATTATGATGTCACTAGTAGTACTAGTGGACATGTTATGAAATAATGGAAAATTAATGAAAAATGGAGAACATGTTAACAAAATTTGTAACAAAATTCTGAAATGAAAATTTTATTAAACTGATTTGCAGGCAATTTGGAAAATATTTGTTCTGATTCAGTTCAAAAATTTCCAAATGTCATCACAAACCAGAACTTTTGAGTTTCAATCTGCTCTGCAAGTAACTTCCTGGCAATTCTAAATTTGAGTGAGTTAAGCTAAATTGTTCTTTTGCGCTCACTCTTTAAATGTGAAGCGTGAAAGGAGTGTGAGCAAGGATTTCATAGCTGTTGTGGTTCAATACATACTGTTTGTGTGGTAGACAATAATAGTTTCTTGAATGAAATTATGTTCTGTTGTGTCAATAATTATTATTCAGCTTTTAAAACTGTGCTAGTTGGAGCTGTAGTAAATAGAAATGTTAGGTAGCCAGTGTAAATGATTTTGTCTGTTTTTGAAAATTACTTTTTGATTCGGCAGCTTCCTTCTCATCCAGTAACACCATCCAGCAAACATTCAGACAGCAAACCAATACCACTGACTCCTGCATACCACACGCTTCCACATCTTTCACATCATGGGACTCCACATACCACTATAAACTGGGGACCTCTGGAACCTCCTAAAACTCCCAAACCTTGGAGCTTGAGCTGTTTACGACCTGCACCTCCACTACGGCCTTCAGCAGCTCTCTGTTATAAAGAGGTGAGGTATTGGAACCCAGAAATGTTACCATAAAAGTACAGGACTACACTAAGAGGTGTAACTCAGTTCTTTTCATATCATGATCTTATATAGTTCTGTATGTGTGTTTATATTGTGTATGTTTTCACTTCATCTAAGTTAACACTGAAACAGTGGTAATTGATTAGTGCCCACTTGTATTCATTATTATTATCATCATCATCATCTATTGGGGCAGATGGAGTGGAAATCCTCTGCATTCATGCATCCCTATCTGAGCCATGAAGATTTTCTCCTAGTTTTTTTTTTCCTACTTCCCATATACCTAGTTCTCTGTATCCTGCTCTACTTCTACCATCCCTCTGGTCCGATAGGGTGCGAGAAACACCTTTTGCAGTGAGACAATGCTATTTTAAAATTGACCAGTCAGTGTCATGAGTGAGCAAAGTGAGACATTCTCTCGGTAACCCCAGAGATCGGAGTGTTGCCACTGCTTGCTGGTGAATGGAGAAAGAGTCCAGAATCAGCAATCTAACTGGCATTTCCTACTTCATAGGAATCTCAAATAATTTTGAATATCTACAATTGTTATGACTAATTTCATTCCTGAATATTAAACTGTTGTTTACATGCACTTAGTAAACCTTTAAATTTAATCCTAGAAGTTATAGTATATGACTTTTTGTGCATCAACTTCAAATTACGGTACCATTTATGATGATGCATAATGATTCTTCGTTCTTTTTTATACCCCACCCCGCATCCTTTAATGTTGCAGATTTTAATCTCGGCTGTAAAAAAAAAATAAAAATACAAAATTATTTTTATTAAGCCACAAAAGGATGGCAGTGGTAGACAAACTTGTTCTTATCACTAAATTTTGCCCGTCTTTAAAATGAGGAATATTTAAAATGTTTGGTTTATGCAGAATTTGGTGGTGCGTGTAATTTGATGACAGAGGCCACTGTGTCTAGTAAATTAAGCCAGAAATTCTATTACTGACTTGCTGTGAGACCATGGGTAACTCACAGCCACTTTGTCTCTGTATTTACAAGCTGTAAAATGGGGGAAATAATGTTTAGTCACTTTGGTAAAGCATGCTGAGATCCTGTGATGGGGGTGCACTATAAAAGGGCAAGGTAATAGGCATATGGCAGAAAAGTATTATACTTTATTCAGAAGCAATATTAAACCTGTGTTGAAAAGCTTGTTTCATGCATTGTCATAGTTCTGATTTAAAGTTAAGAACAGTTCCCAAAGGAGTGTGCACAATTGTTCCTGCAAATATCTTGAGTGTGCATGCAGGAGATGAGTTTTTATGGGCAGAAATTTGAATTTTTTGCAGGCACACAAATTGTGCTCTCTGTTTAAAAAATGGGGTCAATCTTTTGACAAACACTTGTCACTCATGAAACACTTTAGCAAAAAAAACACCCCAAAAGGAATGTGGGGAGAGAGATGGCCTTTAATTTGAAGGTTAAACATTTTGGTTTAATTACTACATTAGCTTATTCAGCTGCAGTGCATGTCCATCTTTTAAATTAAATATAAGTGAACTTCTTTCATGCATTGGTATGTATAACATTTATTTAATTCTTAAATGTGGCAACATTTCACTCATCTTTACAGTGCTTAGTATATGACTGAATGTTTGAAACCTATCTTCATCCTCATTGGTCTTTGTCCTGCTCATTCATCTTTTCACTTTCTTGTTCTACACATGTATAGAGGCTGTCTTGTATTCTGAAGGTAAGGGGTAGATCAGTATGTATTTTGTATCCCTATACACTAGCATGACTCACTATAGAGTGGAAGTGTTGAATCTCTGTCACTGTATTCTTTTGCTGTAGTTCTCTCTTTTCAAAGCTATAACAAGCACTCTTCAAATTTTGATTTAAAGAAATAGATGTGTATAACTTACCAACCTTCCACTTCGGGCTTGTTTTATCTGCTTCTAAATAAGATGGGTCTACCTCTCAAAAGTTAAGAAAAATACTTTGTGTCCCACTTGCCATTGTTCCCTTTGCTCTAGCTCCCAGACAGCCTGCATACTTACAGAAGCATTGCTGTGTATTTCTGTTATTAGGACTAGAAGAATAACATGCAAACAGCCAATGGGGTTGGGGGGAATAAATGGATTCAAGTAAACCTGAAATATGCAAAAAATAATATTAGCCAGCAAAATTTTGATGTAGCTTTATAAGATTTTTATAATTAACTGCTACTTGAACACAAATTAAAATTTCAGCATTTGGAATCTTTTTTTTAAAAAAAGAAGCTTTACTTTTTCTTTTCTTTTCACCCAGGATCTCAGTAAAAGCCCTAAAACCATGAAAAAGCTGCTTCCCAAGCGTAAGCCTGAACGGAAGCCATCAGACGAAGAGTTTGCACTGAGAAAAAGTAAGTAATACTGAATAAATATCTGTGTATTCACAAGGTGCTAGTGTATATAAAAAGAAAGTTGCAGAGAAATGGATGGTATTTTATTTTTTTTTCCCAATGAAAACTGCAATTTTCAACTTTCTCTAGGTACCAATACTTCCAGTTTGCTGTTTATACTAATTGGCAACAAGCAAATAAATAAATAATAGGAATGGTTTGTACTGAAATTATCTCAATATATTGGAAAATCATTTCTTAACTCTCTGGTTAAATTTTTACTCTGTCAGTAACTTTATGAAGTGAAAGAAAGTACTGTAAATTTGAGTACAGTAAATTTGAGTACAGTAACTTTAGGTCTGTGAAGAGCAATTTAGAGTTTTAAAATAGTATCCTACCTTCCCAAGATATAATTAAGTATGTAAACTATTTAATTGATTGTTTTCAAAGTTCCCATTGAGTTGGAGATTTGAAAGCAGATACCTACAGGTCCTGGTACTGACACTGATGCCTTTCAGGGTAGGTCATTTTTTAGGTCTAACAACTGTACTGATATTTCCTTAGAAACAGGGTATTTTCTGTATGTCATTTATTTGTGACAGAGGGTAATGAAAAATCTGGACTTTCCTGTTCCATAGGCTATAAAACAAAGCTAGAGAAGTTTCCAAGGAACAAGATGGGTTTATAAATAAAGAATATCCTAAAGAACAAAAGCTTAAGCTAGTTTAGAGGGAGCATTGGCAGCATAATAGAAGTGTGGGGGAGTAGGAAGGATGAAAGAAAAGACAAGTGTTAATAACTGTGTTATCCGGGGGGGAAGTCTTTATTCTACTGTCTTAACTTCAGTCCAGTTCTGTCTGTTTAGTGTGTACTAATACATCCTGATTCACATGTGCGAATGGATAAGTAACGTTTGTGATAACAGGGGTCTGTGCGGTGCTTAAAATAATTAAGCCATTTAGATTGATCTAGTTCATGTACTCAAACCACATTTGCTTTCCTCAGTTTTTGTCTACTTCTGTATCCTTAAGTTGTGGGCTTCTTAGAAGAGAGACCTGTCTATCTTGAGTTTGTGGAACATGTGAAGCACATAGTGAATGCTGTCATAAAGAATCACCATACTTTGAGTTGAGAAGGAATTTTTCCCATGACACTGTGACCGGGTTCGGTCACAGAGATCCCCTTGGGACTGTCACCTGATGTGCTGAAATTACCTCTGAGCCCGTTTTCCCTGCCAGCTTGGGACTTCCAGAACCCTGTCTTGTTGAGCCAGACAGACTAGCCTGCTGCAACACAGACCCAGGGTCTGTTCCATGCCTCCAAAGATGCAGACTTAACTGAAAACAGCTCAGCAGGTTACTTATCTCCAGCACTCAGACACCCAGCTCCCAATGGGATCCAAACCCCAAATAAATCCGTTTTACTCTGTATAAAGCTTATACAGGGTAAATTCATAAATTGTCCGCCCTCTATAACACTGATAGAGAGATATGCACAGCTGTTTGCTCCCCCAGGTATTACTCACTTAACCTGGGTTCATTAATAAACAAAAGTGATTTTATTAAGTATAACAAGTATGATTTAAGTGGTTTCAAGTAATAACAGACAGAACAAAGTAAGTCACGAAGCAAAATAAAGCAAAATCACGCGAGTCTAAGCCTAATACATTAAAAAGCTATCTTACCCTCAGAGATGTTCCAATAAGCTTCTTTCACAGACTAGGCTCCTTCCTAGTCTGGGCCCAGTCTTTTCCCCAGTACAGTCCTTGTTAGTTCCAGCAGACATCCTAGGTGGAAAGCAGGGGCTTTCTCATGACTGACCACCTCTTTGTCCTGCTTCACCCCCTTTTATAGCTTTGGCAAAAGGCGGGAATTTTTTGTCTCTCTGGGTCCCCACCCCTCCTTCTAAATGAAAAAGTGCCAGATTTAAGATGGATTCCAGTATCAGGTGACATGATCACATCTCCTGTGAGACCCCAGCCTCCATTCTTCCTGGGCTGGCCCACACGTACACAGGAAGGTTTGCAAATAAACAGAGCCATTTACAGTTCATTGATTCTGAAGCACTCTTAATGGCTTCCACTTAATATGTTTACATCAGTAATACAAGTTTATATCTTGTTCTCCTAACTTCAGACATAGAAATAATACATTCAAACAAATAGGATGAACAAACTCAGTAGATTATAAGCTTTGTAATGATACCTTACAAGAAACCTTTTGCATAAAGCATATTCCAGTTACATCATATTCACATTCATAAGCATATTTTCATAAAGGATATGGAGTGCAACATCACAGACACCACTTGCTGAACTACAGTGGGAGCTTTCTCTTCCCCTAGGATGTGCTGTGGATTTCCTATGGCAGGAATTTAGGTTAGTGAAGGGAATGATATGTTGTTTACACGTGTTGATGGAAACTTTAGTTGAGTAGTATGTGGATAGCTGACTTGTTTTACTTGCAAGTTTACTTGCATGACACAGTCGGGCTATAAAGCTTGGGCTGTTTGTTTTTAATGTGACAGCTGCATAAGCAAGCATCCCTCTCACTAGAACCTTGCATATGGATGGAATGAAAGACAGTGGAGAAGACATTAGTCCTCCTCAAGAAAGGACCTTGTTACCAAGCACAGATACAGGGCTTCCCCTGAAGAAACTTGTTCCTTCCTTTTTTATATATATACATATAGTTGGAGAGTTTCAGGCTTGAGCTTTTCCAATAAAAGTTGTGGCTTTGGCCTTTTAAACCAATTCCAGTGTGTTGTCTTCTACATCATACCAAGACATCTTGTCAATGTCCTTAGTACAGATTGGCCCAATAAAATATTTCAAAAGTTAGTTTTGTTGTTGCATTCTGTGGTGGTTGTAACTGGATACAGCATATACACGGCCCTTTAAGGAATCCACATTGTGTGAGTTTGTTTGAAGTAGTTTTAGTATAATTTTATTAAGCAAGTTAAAAGAAACTTGTTGGGAGTCTAGGAAACTAAATACTCTGGCCAACACTTCAAAATTTTAATGGGAGCTGTGAGAATGCCTTTGCAACTCTGAATATCCAAGCCATTATTTGTTTAGGTGCTTAAATACGGCATTTGATGCTAAACAGTAATTAACCAAATTTGAAAATATTGGCCTATATGGTTTTGAATATAATTTTTGATTTATGGCAAAAAAAATTTTTGAAAATTTACAAAGCCTGAAACAGATTATAATATACAGTGGTCATCATTTGACTACAATATTTTCTTCTTTAAAAGCGATTCTTTTCCTCCTGTCTTTCCACTTTAAGAACATAAGAACAGCCATAGTGGGTCAGACCAATGGGTCCATCTAGCCCAGTGTCCGATCTTCTGACAGTGGCCAGTGCTGGATGCTTCAGAGAGAACAAACAGAACAGGGCATTTATCGAGTGATCCATCCACTGTCATCCAGTCCCAGCTTCTGGGAGTCAGAGGTTTAGAGACCCATCAGTCTTGGCTAATAGCCATTGATGGACCTGTCCTCCATGAACTTAACCAGTTCTTTTTTTGAACCCTGTTACAGATTTGGCCTTGGCAATGAGTTCCACAGGTTTACTGGGTATTGTGTGAAGAAGTACTTCCTTTTGTTCGTTTTAAACCTTCTGTCTGTTAATTTCATTGGGTGATCCCTGCCTCTTATGTGAGGTGAAGGGGTAAATAACACTTCCCTATTCACTTTCTCCACACCATTCATGATTTTATGGACCTCTATCATTGCTCCCCTTCGTTATTTCTTTTCTAAACTAAACAGTCAGTCTTTTTAATCTTTCCTCATATGAAAGCTGCTAATTATTTTTGTTGTCCTTCTCTGTACCTTTTCCAGTTCTAATATATCTTTTTTGAGATGGACCAGAACTGTACATCAGGGTGTGGGTGTACTATAGATTTATATAATGGCATTATGATAGTTTCTGTCTTATTATCTACCCCTTTCCTAATGCTTCCCTTTTTGACTGCTGCTGCACACTGAGCTGGCATTTTCAGAGTTTACATAACGACACCAAGATCTCTTTCTTGAGTGGCAACAGCTAATATAGACCACATCATTTTGTCTGTTTAGTTGGGATTATTTTTTCCAGTGTGCATTACTTTGCATTTATCAACATTAAATTTCATCTGCCATTTTCTTGCTCTGTCACTCAGTTTTGTGAGATCCCTTTGTAACTCTCTGCCATGAGCTTTGGACTTAACTATCTCGAGTAATTTTGTATCATCTGCAAATTTTGCCACCTCACTGGTCACTCACTTTTCCAGATCATTTATGAATATGTTGAACAGCACAGGTCAGAGTACAAATCCTTATTTAACTCTTTCCATTGAGAAAACTGAGCATTTATTAGTACCCTTGTTTCCTATCTTTTTAACCAGTTACTGATCCATGAGAGGACCTCTTATCCCAGGACTGGTTACTTTGCTTAAGAGCCTTTGGAGTCAAAGGCTTTCTGAAAGTCCAGAAACTGGATCACCCTTGTCCACAGGCTTGTTGACCCCCTCAAACAATTCTAATAGATTGGTGAGGCATGATTTCCCTTTACAAAAGCCGTGTTGACTCTTCCCTAACAAATCATGTTAATCTGTATGTCTGATGATTCTGTTCTTTACTACCAATTTGCCTGATACTGAAGTTAGTCTTATCGGCCTGTAATGTAATGTCTGGAGCCTTTTTTAAAATCGGCGTTACATTAGCTACTCTGTAGTCATCTGGAACGGAGGCTGATTTAAGCAATAGGTTACAAACCACAGTTAGCAGTTCTTTAGTTTCATACTTGAGTTCCTTCATATCTCTTGGGTGAATCCCATCTGGTACTGGGACTTATTACTGTTCAGTTTATCAATTCATTCCAAAATCTGCTCTATTGACACCGCAGTCTGGGACAGTTCTTCAGATTTGTTGCCTAAAAAGAATGATTTGGGCATAGGAATCTCCCTCACATCCTCTTCAGTGAAGACCGATGCAAAGAATTAATTTAGCTTCTTCGCAATGGCCTTATCTTCCTTGAGTGCTCCTTTAGCATCTTGATAATCAAGTGGCCCCACTGATTGTGGCTTCCTGCTTCTGAAGTACTTAAAAAAAAATTTACTGTTACTTTTTTTGCTTTTTGCTAGTTGCTCTTCAAATTCATTTTTCACCTTCCTAATTAGACTTTTATATTTACATGCCAGAGTTTATGCTTCTTTCTATTTTCCTCAGTAGGATTTGACTTCCAGATTTTAAAGGATACCTTTTTGTCTCTAACTACCTCTTTCGCTCTGCTGTTTAATAATGGTGGCATTTTTGGTCCTCTTGCTGTTATTATTATTATTTGGCATATACATAGAGTTTGAGCCTCTATTATGATGTTTATAAATAGTTTCCATGCAGCTTCCTTTCACTTTTGTGACTGTTCCTTTTAATTTCTGTTTAACTAGACTCTTCATTTTTGTGTAGTTTTCTCTTTGAAGTTAAATCCTACTGTGGTGGATTTCTTTGGTATTTTCACCCCTACAAGGATGTTAAATTTAATTACATTATGGTCACTATTACCGAGCGGTTCAGCTATATTCACCTCTTGGACCAGATCCTGTGCTCCAGTTAGGACTAAATCAAGAATTGCCTCTCCTCTTGTGGGTTCCAGGACTCGCTGCTGCAAGAAGCAGTCATTTATGGTGTCTATACATTTTCTCTCTACATCCCGTCATGAGGTGACATTTACCCAGTCACTATGGGAATAGTTAAATCCCCCATTATTATTGGGTTTTCTGGTTTTGTAGTCTCTCTAATGGCCCTGACATTATACAGTCACCGTTACCATCTAGGTCAGGTGTTTGGTAGTATATTCCTACTGTTTATACTCTTATTATTCAAGCATGGAATGTCTATACATAGAGATTCAGTGGTAAAGTTTGATTCATTTAAGATTTTTATTATATTTGACTCTATTTTTTCTTTCACATAGAGTGCCAGTCTTCCCCCCAACCCCCCCCAGCGTGACCCACTCAGTTAATTCCTATATATTTTGTACCCTGATCTTACCAGTTCCCATTAATTGTCATTCCACCAAGTTTCTGTGATGACTATTATATCAGTAGTCTCATTCAATACTAGACACTCAATTTCACCCCAGTATTTAGACTTTCTGTTTGATATTGTTAAAACAAGATTTGCTTTATCCCCTCCGCATCTTCACGAGACTTTCATTCTGGACTGATCAAGAGGCATTCCTTTTTATTTACATCTACTGTCCTCTCAAAATCTTCAAAGCAAAAGAGAGTAATGGTTCCCCATAGTACAAAATAAGTTGGTGCTGTTTTAGTTCTCTCAGTCAGATCACAGAAGAGAACTTTTTGGGAAATCTTTTTTAATCAGATTCTGCTGAATAATAGATAAGTGCAATAGAAACTCTTTCTTTAACGTGACATTTTTGTTCTGTTATATCAACACATGGCAATGACATTTTTATCCAAGCGAATTGTATATCTTTACTGATATTTTTATTTTAAATCCATTTTAAAGGACGTATACAACATAATTACGTCAGACCATTTTTCTTGTTACTCTTTAAGTTTACAAAGCACACTTGCTTTAAGTATTTATCTTAAAGATTGTCGAGCTTAATACTGCTTCCCAGTAGTAAAATATTAATTACTAGTACTAACTGTTTGATACAGTGGGCTAGTTAGAGATGCAGAAGCCACATAATTTAAAAACAATTGTAACATCCTTTTCATTACTATGCCTTTTAAGTGAGTGATATGATGGTTACAGATGGGCTGATGGGGGTGGGAAATGGACCTGTGATCTTAAAATGCCTTTGTATTTCGCTTTTATGCCATTTAAAAGCAGTTATATCACAAACTTGATTATGTGAGGAGAATGTGAGAAATAAAGAATTAAAATATGGAAGAAAGGATAGAATAGAACTGAAAAACAAACAAGTCGCTACTAATCTGACCATCTTTTAATTTCAAGAACTGCTGAAACATAAATGTTTTAATCTGTCACAGCTGCTATAATTAGGAATAGAAATGAAGCAACGTTGAGAAACAAGGCTGAATTTGATGTGTTCTAACCAATGGAGATCAGTTCAGTAGTAAAGAAACTGCTGCAATGCAGTCCCAGTACAACAGATCCCATCCGATATTTGTGTGGAACTTCAGTAGTCACCAGCATGCAGTTGCCGCTTCATTCCACTTCTCCAAGATACCAAGCAAACACCTGCAGCCTCAGAGATGATCAAAGCACATGCACTAACAGGAGCTATTGTTTAGCTTCAAAGAAAGATGAAATAGAACTTACTTGTATAATTGAAAGATAATCTTTTTAAAATTACAGTTGTCAGCACTTTTGATGTAAGGGATGGCTTGCCTGCTGAAAGGGAAACTTGATGACTTTGTTTGCAGTGACTTTTACTTACTTGAATAACTTCACTGATGCTGCCAGATACTCATCATTCTTTATCCAGTGTTTCAGTAATTAGTAGTCTTTGTCCTTCTGTGTTAATTGCACTTTGAACAAACAAATCAGATACCGGAGATATACCAACCAAATACTTCCATGAACCTGGGTATAATGTAAGAAAGTTAATGCCTACATAATTACTAGTTCTCCATCTCTACTGTACAAAACAGTACAATGGTGTTACACCCTGCCTAGAGGAATTGCTTTGCTGACAGATTTTTTCCATTTATTAAAAAAAGGAAATAGTTCTGGAATAGATGACAAATGTTTGGACATCTTAAACGTTATTGGGAAACTATCATGTTGCTATGAGCTCTTATTAGTGTTGTTTGCAAACAGTCATCACTGGTGGATATTCTGTAGAGTACTGTTTGGTTGTGATCATAAATAATTGAAAATAAAAAATGGGAATTTCTGGATGTCTTGCCTGCTAGGAGAAGATTGCTGACTTTGAAAGACCTTCATATACTCTCAGTGAAAATCTTCAAGGCCAATGGTATATAAAGCTTTGTGGGGATGGGAAAAAATGGATGGAAATTTAAAAACAAACCAACCAACCTTGGTGAAATTCTGGCTCCATTGAAGTCAAGACTAAAAACTCCCATTTACTTCAAACGAGGTCAGGATTTCACACCCTGTTCTTAGCTGAAGCAACTTTGATAAAAGGATCTAGTTGAAGCCCAGGAAGAACAGATTTAGCTTCACATGGATTTTCTTTTAATTAACTCCAAAGCAGATATTCTTAGAACTTTGTGTCTGGAATGTTTTCTCTGCTCTAAGCTCTGCTAAGAAACCTAACAAGCTTCACTTAACACAATCTGAAAATAGCTGTCAGATGCTGCCAAATTTCACGAAAGTACTCATACGGTAAGTGGCATTTTTCCTGATGGACTCAAGGCTGAAATTGTACAACAGTATATGTTATAATATTATGCTGAGTTTAATTTTCAGAATGCTAGACTTCCTTTCATAGTATTGCTATGGAAAAAATGTATGTTTGTTTCACTTGTGAACCTTAATAAAGACTTAGTTATTAAACTACATGATGCTCTGATTCATTTACTAGAAGATAATATTCCATTCCTTGTGTTTCTCTAATTAAACTGTGATATGAGTTAAGGTGCAACTAATAACTGTTTGGGTATACTTTTTGTGTCTGATTGCTGTTTGCACAATATCATAGAGGGAAGACATGCTTCTTCGAAACACTTGTATTCCACATAGCTCTCTTTGAAAAGAAACAGAAAGGGGTAGTTTTAAAATATTCAGAAACCTTCTTTAGGTTTGGCTTAATTTCCCAGTTTTGAGGTGTTTTTCAATACATTTTATAACAACATTTAAGTAGATATTTGGTTTTTTTTTAAACCCTTTTCACTCATTGAAACTCACTCCAGAATATAAATTAAGGGATCAGCTACAATTGGTGGGGGTAATAAATAGAATCACTTTGCTGAACCTTAGTTGAATTATCTGGTACTTGTCTCTAGGCTTACAACGACTTTACAATTACATGACTGGCTTAATAACTAGAGCCATGGTAAAGATTTATTTTTCTGTTGACTTCAGGTACAGCTGCATTGGAAGAAGATGCTCAGATTCTTAAGGTCATTGAAGCGTACTGCACAAGTGCCAAAACGCGCCAAACACTAAATTCAAGTAAGTTAGAAAAGGCTGAATTAATTAACCAAAATGCTATTTAGATACTTCATAAAAACAGCGGTGGGTCCCAACACTACAAATAATGGGATGTGTCCTAAGAAAATCAGCCTTTGGAGTGGGTCTCGGTGTGGGGTGCTTGGGCGCTCTACTTAGAGCATCAGAAGCCCTGCCTGAGGTCCAATTTTGGTGAATATAATCCATATTACTAAATTTGCCATGGTATGAAACCTGTATCAAGCATGCACCAAGGAATGGGAAGTGTCTGGATTTAATGACACTTGCAATACACTTTCTTGAGAGAAAATGGTAAGTGTAGAGGTAAATGGAAGAGCAATATTCATTTTAGGTTTGGGGACTATATCTGCTTTATGCCTGTGAGAGTTCTGTTCAACAAGATATATGTTTTGCTCAAGGGCTTCTGGGAAACCTTCACTCCTGTTGTGGAAGGGTAAATGGGGCATATAAAGTTTTCCTTGCCACTAGCTGTTTAATATTTACTATTACAAATTTTAATCCTCTCTTATAATAATTTCAGGGAGCAACTGTTAATTTTCTTAGAACTCTGTGGTGGGTAAGGTTGCCATTCTCAGTTTTTCAAATTTACATTCAGCTGATTGGTACTTACAATGCACATCCTCAATCTAAAACAAGGCTGCAGTTGTGGAGGTTCTTTGTGTTGTAAGTAAAACACTCCACATAGCAGGGGAATCCACCAGCATGCGTTAACGTTTATGTAAGGGAGGAGAGCATGCTGTTCAGTTTGCTCCAATTTGCACAGTTTTGCCATTGAATATAAACCTTGTTTAGGAATTATATCTCTGGTATGCTGTAAAATGATCCTGAGATAGTGATTTTATTGTTGTCAGCAATTATTAGTGTGGACATTGTAAATAATTCATTGTCCATTTAAATTGTTTAATTTCCGAGTATTTGTCAGTGTTTATTACCAAAACAGTTTTTTGTGCATACTTTATTTCCAAGCAAAAACATTTTAGACTGGCAATTGGAAAGTCACAATATAAGACTTGAAATTTAGTGCACAAATTCTTTAACACATGTGCAGTTGCCTGCCTTCTCATCACCTTGAAAAATCCTACTTTGCATGCAAATATACTTAATATTGGAATTTGGCTTTTTGTATGAAGGAAGAATTTATTGCAAGGTTATTTTATGTATGTTTTTAATTTTCATTTGTTTCAAGCTAAAATGTGTATGAAAAGGGACTCTTCAGGTCTGTCTTTGTGATCCATTTTATCAAGTTCTAAGTCTTCAAGGTGATAAAATTGAAGTAATTTATTAGCTCATCCCTGTTTTGGACTGGTTTCGGTTTCCACAGATTTGATTTTAGCCCTATGATCATTCTGTTTTATTGTGGCTTACCTGGTAAAAATGAAAGAAACAAGTTTACTGTTTAAAATTCTAAAGATAAATTATGGAACAAAATAAGGCTAAATTAAATTATTGCTATTTTAAATGTCACAACTGTGCTTAGTTGGTGCTGATCATTTTTCAAAGATAATCTGACAAGAAATGGTTTGTGAAACATTTAATTTTTAATTATGCAGTTGTGTGTGTACACAGAAACACATACAACTGATGCGAAGTATATTTTTGCTTTTTTTCCCCCCTATTTTTCCCTTCCTATGTATATTTAAGAAATATACATAGTGCAGTAGATATCATTACATACATCAAAAATCAACAGCTTTTATTTGCATTTAACCGCACTAAGAAACAACTGAAGTATCAGTTACATGCACGACCTCTTCTCTTGTAAAGGATGGGTATTGGCATAAAAATTTTAGGTTTTCTACCATTCCATGTTTAGCTTTCCATCAGAGGTGGAGAAACTCCATTTGGTGTTGGGATTGCTTCTGTAACAGTAACGGTGCATTTCAAAAATTACCAGACACTTTATTAAAATTTTCACATTCTTTTTGTACCCCTTTCTTACCTCTGTGTTCACATTCTGCCTGTCCCTCACAGCGCTGATTTGGCAATTCTGCTAGTAGCACCTTCTGTCTGGCATCCAGGAGGTGCTGCTTTTGGAAGTGCAAATTCAGCACGGCTAGGGCACCAGTGGATTGGAAGGCAGTGACATCAGAGGTAGGACAGCAGCTTTTTGTTACTACTTGGGGAAAAAGAAGTTTTGTTTTTTTAAATCTGGAGAGATTATGGGGCAATAGAAATGAAGAGAAGAGAATGAAGGGTGGGGCTTTCCCTTCTTATAAATCTGGTCTTTTGCTGTGCATTCCTTCTTGCTCTCAGAAAAATAGGTTAGTTCTCTAGATAAGGGTTTAACATCATTAGTAACACCTGTGTAGTAGCTCACAATAGGGCCACCTACAGTTTCAGTTTCCAAATATTTCCAGGCATTTATCTTTCATAAGCAAAAACCCAGCTTCAAAATAGAAATAGAAGAGAGAAAACATTTTTATACCCCCTTGTTCACCCTAAACATTTTACAGTGATTATATCGAGAAGGTAAGTTTAGACACGGTCATGAAAATGACTACTGTGAATAGCTAGTCTTGGCAGGGAGGTAACTGGAAATAGTACAGTAAGTCTAAAATATTTTAAAGTATTTTGGAGCTGATTTGAGATAACTACTGTGGCTTGCAATGTTTGATTAGCCCTATCAACTTTGCATTTTGTAAAAAGATTTCCAGTTGATTTGTTATAGCTAAGTTGTAGCTGTGGGTTAATATAGTGCTCCTCCCTTTCAAATTTCTCTGTCAACTAGAGTTGACCGCCCTGTTCATAATAATAATCAAAGAATCTCAGGGGTACTCAGGTTAGGACATATATTTTCAATAAAACTGCTCAAAATTTAAAACAAATTCAAAAATTAGATTGTGACAGTTCAAAAGTTATTACATGCCAAGTGTAATTTTTACATCAAACCCAACCAAAAATAAGAATAATAAAGCTTTGCTGCCTTTTTAACAATATTTTCTCTTTTCCTTCTCTTCCCATCACCTTTTGCTTTTGTTTTCATGTGTTTTGGTTGTGGCTATTCCTTACGTTCCCCTCCTCATCCCACCTCTGCCTATCCACATCCACCATTTCATTTCACCCGTACATCCTTAGCATGGCAAGGCACTGACCTGATGCATAATCACGTCTTGGCTGATGATGACCAATCAAGTCTAGACTCCTTGGGTCGTCGCAGTAGCCTTTCTCGTTTGGAGCCTTCAGACCTCTCAGAAGACTCTGACTATGACAGTATATGGACAGCCCATAGTTACAGAATGGGGTCTACATCTCGTAAGAGCTGTTGCTCATATATCTCTCACCAGAACTAATGCACTTCTGAGCTTTTCTTAACAAATGCTTGTTGTATCACAGCCTGCTTTTCTTAGATGTTTTCTTGCTGTTCCTTGTCTCTTCAATGTGATATTTTAACAACTTTTGAGAGCGTTTCTGATATTTCAATTGTACCTCGTGGGAGGCTCTATTGCCAATTTAATACACATACAATTAAGTCATTCTAAATCGAGAGTGTATATCCTGCTAAGGATATTATACCTTTAGGGTTTTTTTAAAAGTGACAGCCATTGATTTGTAGCTCTGAATAGTCTGTTTTTTGACTTGGTCAGTGTAGCAACAATTCCTTTTTTTTCCCCCCCCGATACAGCACGTTTTTGTATTTTGTACTGAAACCATACTGGTTTGTGAGCTAAGTGCCAGCAATATGGAACTACTTTAGCCTTATAGTGGTCTAATTTTCTATGTATTATAAACACAAGGTATAAAGCAGGGAGAACAAGAGAAAATAATTTTTAAAATATGCAGTACAAGAACTGTAAAATTATTCAGATACTCCTTTATCTGGGCAATCTGTATGGCAGAGTGTTTGATAATCTGTGAAAATGTTTATATTGCTGTCTTTTTTTTTCATTGCTTAGACATGGATGAAGAATCATACATTTTTCTCAAGTTAAGCAGTTGTCTTAAAGACCTGGAAGTCTGTGTTGTTAAATGCAGTGTATACTTCACGCTACCAGTAGTCATACTGTCACTTTACTGCAGGTAGTAGTGTGGAAGGTTCCAGGTTTTAGATGCTGATCTGCCTAGTAAAATGCACAACTATCAATAAAGCATCGGTCCTTCTCTATGAAAACCACAAAATCCAATCTGAAAAAAACCATTCAGAAAGGTTCCCATTATAAAGCTTGAGTGTTCAGCATCTGAAGCTGTTGGTATAACTGTGGTCAAAATGGGTTGTAGGAAGTCCTTAAAAGTAGAATGCCTGGCTTTGGTTTTCACAGTTTGGATACATCTGAGACATGTATTTATTGTGTTTTGTAATTGCTCTCATAAGCACATTGGTTTTCAGCAACCAGCTCTTCATTCAGAGTAACTTTAGCTTTGCACAGAACTGAATTTGACACATTATATATTCAGTTCCGAATGTGATACAATATATATTCTGCACCTGGGACGTTGGTGGGGGAAAGTTGTGTTCTGTATTGTGGATAACATAATTGGAATTGAAATGAAACCTTTCTGTATTCTAAATCCTTATTAACATTAAGAAAACAGCCGCATCCTAAAAGGGAGATAACATTTTTTTGCTTTCCTTAAGATTCCAGGATGCTGTATTTTTTATTCAAACATGTACAGTGCTCAGTGTTCTGATATCACTATATGAACAAATTAAGATAGGTGCAATTGTTGCTGCCTGGGAATTTGATCACACTGTTTACAAGTCCTGAGGCAATAGTAAACTCCTGCAGGTGATTTAAGCAGGAAACCAATGGTTACACGTGAACAATCCCACAAGGATGTCAAAATGGACAAGCTGTGTTAGAAGCAGTTCATATCCAAAACTTCACTATCTGTTTTAAGTGTTTGATAACCTACTTGTTACTCTAGATAATGAAAATTGAGATGCTTATCAGAAAGAAATTTCAGGGGTTTATTATTGTACTAGTCATTTTATTGACCCTTTGTGGCGACAAGGTACTTGTATGCACTGTATCTAATTTTAACTAGGAAAAATTCCTGAGGGAACAAATATATGGTGTATGTACTCCATGCTATATCAGACAATACCTCTGTAAACCACTTAGCTTTCATTTTTATTTTAAAAGTCACATAGAGGATTCACTTCCTATTTATAATGCTGAAAGCATGGATCATTTTTTTCCCCTGATTTTCTTTTTTTTAAGCAGTAGTGTTCTGGTGGAATAATATTGATGTTTTCTGCACTGGTTAAATGCCTGTTCATTTACATTAATACTACTATGTTACATATATTATGTACTGTAAATATTATGAGTTTTTGAAATAGTTGCTGCACTTAAACTTTCCTTTATCACACAAAATAATGCTTTTGTTATCCAGATCTGAAGATTTTATTGACTTTCTATGCACCAAAGCTTTGACAGTTTGCCACCATTAATTACTGTAGCAGTTAAATCATTAATTGTCATCAGAATGATGTTATTTTATGATGATGATCTTCAGTGCCAACATCACTGCAGAATTAAAAATCATTGTCTGCGTTTTCCATGTTACAGATCACTAGCTATTGTCAACTAATCAGAAGTATTAATGCAAGAAGTTTAAAAAATACCAATGTGAAAATGATGGTATTCAGTCCAAAGGTTCAGTGTTTCTATTTTTGTGGAACTTTAGTCATGCTAATAATAGTACCTTATGTTTATGCAATTCTGTAAAATATATGTGTACAGTTAGTATTATACTGAAAGAATGCAGAATCTGAATTAGAAGGTAGGTTTAAGCCACTGTCAGCTCCTTTTCATGTGGCTTAAATGGTGTTTCCATTAAATGAGTATTTAACAAAAATTGACACCAAGCTATATTAATTGTGTTTTTTTGCATAATCTTGCCAAAACACAGTAATGTGTATATAGTGACGTAAAACATTGACAGATCTATATATTGTGCATTTCATTTGTGAATGGGAAAAGCCATCTTTAGTAGATGACTGACTTTTGAAAATACAAACTGGATGTATATCTAAATGTTGCATTGTATTGTACAGTATGCCTATTATTGTTTGTGGTTGCATATAGCAATTAAGTGTTTTGTTTTATAAAAAAAAAAAAAAGGACATCTGTTATGTACAGTTGAAATAAATTTTGCATTTGCTAGCCTGTGACTAATATTTAATCATTATACAGGGAAAGAACGGCATAACTCACAATTTCACATTTATTGTTTGGCTTTTCTGAAAGTAGCATATTAAAATGAAAGCCAAATGCTAAAATAAGAGAACCAACCTGCTTTAGTGAAGGTGTTCATGTATGATTTGTGTGTGATGTAATCTAGACAGTCTAATGTAATCCATCATAGTACAAGTTATTCTGTGTCCTGCTGATTTTTCCTTCTTCTTTTAAAACTTTCCATCTCTAGAGATATTGTCATCTACAGAACATGTTTCCCATTTCCATTTATGGGGAAGTAGTGTTTCCCCCCTTAATATGAGAAAACTTAAATTGAAAACAGGCTAAGCAGTTGCTCAGGAGAAAATTGGATCAGTTTAAGAAAGATTGAATAAAATATGTAGAGGGCCTGGTACATAAGTACAAATTAGTGCATATATCTGTGGTCTTAAAGTTTTGCTAATAATGTAGCAATTCTTTTCTAGCCCTACAGCCATCTAAATGAATGGTGAGCATAATCTTTTCTGATGAACATCTGTATCAATTAGGGAAATGTGGGAAATTCTGTATCTAAAGTAAGTACTCTTTGTATATGCTTTGAAATTTTTTCTTAGGGCTCTTCATACTGTCATTATTCCAAAAGTAGAAAGCCCCTTATTTAGTATTACTCCATTCATATATACCAGCTGTGTGTCCTGTTATTTTTTCCAAAGATTTACTTGTGTCTATAAACTCTTTAAAATTGGTTCTACTCCAAAAAATGACTGAATTTGACATATTGGCATACAAATAAATTGATGGGTTTTTAGTTCCCAGCCCTACAAACTCAACCTGTGATCGGAAAGTCATGCTAGGTTCTTTCCTACTGATGCATAACCACCAGCAACAAAGTTTCTTCATGTCAGATTCTGTCTTTAGCTAATAACTACACCTGTCCAGCCCCTTTGTGCTTAAGCTTATGGCAACCTAGTAGTTCTCAATGGTATTTGATACGTTAGACTTAGGGGAAAATTTAGCTCTGCAGTTGGAACCTGGTTAACAATTCAGTTGATGCACAAGAAAAGCACACTCTTTTTTAGATTTGTTAGGGCTTACAGATTCTTCACAGTAGAACACTCTAAAGTTTGTTCAATGGGCAACTGGGTACCTGATTTGACAGCAATATCCATCTGTGTTAATGATTAGAATGTGAATAATGCAATGAAAAGTTGAACATTTAAAGTGTGAACTGGTCTAATTTGCACGTGAATATACCACAAGTGTACATGCAAATGGCCAGTTAGATATCTAACTAGTAGGGCTGTCAAGCGATTAAAAAAATGAATTGCGATTAATCGCAGTTTTAATCACACTGCTAAACAATAATATTTAAATATTTGGATGTTTTCTACATTTTCAAATATATCGATTTCAATTACAACACAATACCAAGTTACAGCTCACTTTATATTATTTTTTATTACAAATATTCGCACTGTGAAAAGATGAGAGTATTTCAATTCACCTCATACAAGTACTGTAGTGCAAGCTCTTTATCGTGAAAGTGTAACTTACAAATGTAGATTTTTTTTTTAACATAACTGCACTCAAAAATAAAACAATGTAAAACTTTAGAGCAATGTTTCTCAAACTTTTTATGCTGGTGACCCCAGTTGGACTTAAAAAAAATCATGACCCAACTCACTAGAAAAAAAATTGTGATCCTGTACATTCAGCCCTTTGAGGCACAAGCCTTCGGCCCCCCTCGGGGTGCGGGCCTTTGGCCCCGCTGACTCTGAAGTCCAATTAACGGATTAAAAAAAATTACGCCTTAATCATGCTATGAATTAATCCTTAATTGACAGGCCTAATGCAAAGTGAAAGGTCATGGGGACTTATCAGTTGGAAGTGACGGAGGAGTGTTTCAGTTGATGACTATGAGCTGACAATGTGATGCAAGCTGTGAAAAAGGCTAATTCAGTCCTAGCATGCATCAGGCGAAGTATTTCCAATAGAACCAGGGAAGTGTTATTACCATTGTACCAGGCTCTGGTGAGACCTCATCTGGAATATTGGGTGTAATTCTGGTCTCCCATGTTTAACAAAGATGACTTCAAAGTGGAACAGGTTCAGAGAAGAGATGCTAGGATGATC